CCCAGACCAGCCCCGGGGGGGGGGGGGAGGGGCAGCAGGTGAAGAATGCATCCTAAGGACCCTGGAAGGTCAGACAAGGCCAAGGCCTCTGGCCAGGAGGCTGCCCCAGCCCACAGCAGGTAGGGAAGGGTAAGGCTGCCCCAGTCCTGGTCCTCTAGGGCTCTGTGATGTTCTGCAAATGTAGAGGGGGAAGGCTGAGTGGGAGACACAGAGACTTGGGGACCCTGGCTCTCATGGCTCTCTGGATATTGCTGAAGAAGCCTAGTGCTGGTCTGGAATACCGGAACCAACAGTGGTTGAGATGCTATGACTTTCATGGCCAAGGTACTTTAGGCACTTAAGACGGCCCACCCAGCAATCTCCAGGTCTGGCCCTTCATACCCTTATTCCCCCCCCCCATTTTTTTTTTGGTGCTGGGATTAGAATCCAGGTCCTGCCTAGCTAGGTGAATGCTCAACTCTGAGCTACATCCTCAGCTCCATTTTCTCCAGTTCTTTTGTGCATACCCAGCATCCCCTGTGCTGGCCTAGGCTCTTCTGGTGGCTCCCACTCCACCATCGGGGTTCATCGGGATCTGTGTGTGGTTGGGGTGGGTCAGAGGGCAATGCTCCCTTCCCAGCAGGATCCAGAGAGTAGCCCAGAGTGTGAAGGTGAGCAAGGAGACACCTGCAGAGGCCATATGGGCTGTTAAGCCCCAGAAATGCATGTGGCATCCAGGCCAGGCAAAAGCCCCTAAAGGGGACACTGACTTCCCTAGGAGACTAGAGGAACCAAGAATCCAACTGAACAAGAGGGAATCTCAAAGCAGAGCACTGTGCCTCCTCCTCCTCTTCCTCTCAGACCCAAGAGGGGTCTCTGATGATGGGAGAGAGGGAGAGCTCTCCAGCTGTTTCTGGACTGAGGAACCTGCCCAGCAGCCTGTGGAGTGGAGAGAGAGGCAAGCCACCTCGCCTAAGGCCTGAGTATCTATTGGGCACTGTCTGCCCCAGCTGTCTTCCGGATGTGGGCTCAGGAATGCTCCCCCAGGCCTGCAGAGCAACCCAGAGGACAAGGCCACTGAATGGCCTTTCTCTGTAGGCCCCTCCTGAGCTGCAGCAGGGCAGGGATGCCCCAGCATCCTCAACACCTCCTGCTCTTCTGGTCACTTCACCTCTGGTCTCTGTCACCAGCTCCAAAGGTTCCCTTGTACTCAGGGGTGGAACTGTGTTTTTAAATTGCAAAATTGGGGCCATTTTATCTTTTTGTTACCACACAACCATTAGTGAAGTAGAGCGCCTGCCTGAGCCATCATCATCCCCGTGAAACTTGGCTTCCCCGTCTGCCACAAACCCGGTGAAGTGGAATTGCAAGTACGTTGGCAGGCAGGACCAGGTGCCTGCTACAGGGTAGGAGGCAGCATGCAGCGAAAGGGTCAGGTGAAAGGTTTTGGGGGACTTGGGACACAAGAGACCTCTGCCACTAGGGGAGGATGGCCTCCCCTTCCTGACCACACAGGACTCCTGCCGGGAAGAAGGGGGAGATCTAGACGGGGGCTGCTCCCCAACTCAGCACATGCACTCCCTACCCAGAAGGCCAACCAACCCGCCTGGCATTCATGGGCTCCTTGTCCCGCTGGGGGAGCAGCCAGGAGGGCCAAGGCCTCTTTCCACACTGTGGGCATGCTGGACTTACCAGGGGTACATTGAGCCAGAGGCTGAGGTTACCGACTGTAGTTAATAACCAGGGCTGCCAGTTCCCCTCAACAGACAAGGGACCCAGCAACGGCCCTCCTGGACCCAGACACTGCTCGGTTCTCCAGGTGGGGTAGGGCAGTGACACTGGTGAACTGGGGGACTGTAGGCAGAGGCTAGGTTTCTTAGGGAGGGGCCTTGGAGGGACAAAACCTGAGCCAGAGTCCCTGGAAGGCCCGCTTCCCCTCCCCCAGGCCTCTTAATCTTTAACTGCTTCAGGGCTAACCCTGACCCCTGAAACAAACAGGGCCGGCTTTTCCCAGTTCTAGGCACCTCCCTTGGGAGGAAAGAGCTTCGGGCTGGAAAGAGACGTCTTAAAGGAAGGCTGGAGGGGGACTACGTGGAGCAGACAGGATAGGATGCCCCCACAGGTGCTGGAGGGCTCAGCTAACTTTACCCCATTTTCTCCATGAGAGCTTTGTCCAAGAGTCGCTAGAGGCCAGCGAGCATAAGTGGGACAAGGTGGACTTAGGACCCTGGCTGGAGTCTGAAGGCCAAGGAGCAGAATGGTCCGAGTAGAGGTTGCTCCAACTTCAGTCAGAGGACACCGTGGTCCCTGGAGCATGCAGGGGAGGGGGCTTCCTCTAGAAATCTGCTGGGCTATTGTTGCACTTTCCAAAGCCATGGAAGATTTCCAGGAGGCAGTGACAACCCCAAATAATAATAATAACGCCCCTCCCCCAGCAGCAGGAATTCTGGAAAAAACAGCTGCTGCCGTTATCGCCCCAGGAAAAAACAAGGTCAGGCGCTGCAAAGATTTAATTTAAGGTGCGCCCCCGCGGCCTGCGGGCCACGCACCAGCACGCACGCGTCCTTCGAACGCGGGGTCGAAGCCTGTGGGAACCCGGGGGCACCCCGGCTGTCTCTGCATCCGCCGAGAGTCGGGCGCAGCCGACTTAGCTCCAGACGTCTCAGCAGGGAGTCTGGGGCCGGCCCACAGTCGCCTGGGGCCGTGAGCGGACCTCACTCAGGCTGCTTGCTGCCCCGAGCTTCTGGGGGGCTAAATCAGTCTCCAACAAAGCATTCTGAAATGAGGGGCTCTGTCAGGAGAACACAGCCCGACCTTAATCAGAAGTGACGGCAGAGTGGGCCGCGGGCGCTGGCAGGCCAGGTCGGCTGGAGCCCAAAGACCCTTGTCCTTGTGGGCTGCGGCTTGCAGGACTGGCTCCGGGCGCACAGGGGAGGGAGGCTGGAGAGCTCCTCCAGTCGCCGCCCAGTCCCCACCGGCCACACTTGCTGTAGGTGGAGAGAGCTCAGGTGGGGCACACAGACAGGCTGGGGCCAGCTCTGGGTACAGCCTTGGTGGTGGCCTCTGGCGTGGAGGACAGACGTTCCACACCACGCAGCACTCGAGAGGAAACTCCCTGCGATAGCCAGCGCGGTGCGGCTAAGAGCGCGCTTCCTTGGCGCTCCGCGCCAGCCTGGGGAAGCCGTGAAGTCACCAAGGTGGGCAGAGGCTTCAGGACCTGAGTACCCGAAGATTCCCGGGCCTGTGCTGGGAGTGTCCATATTTCCGACTACCAGAGGGAAGGGTCTGGCCTGGGCTACCAACAACACCGCGTGCGCCTGGCCCTCCAGGCCGCCCAGCCACCGCCGGCGTCGCCTATCTCCCAGGCAGAAACCAACCAACACCAAAGATTCCCTCATTTCCCAAACTGGGGAATAAGGAGCAGGGGTTAGGAGGAAGGCGGAAGGGGGGAGGGGATAGGGTCGAACCCGTTGGTTTTTTTACTTCAAAATTATATATTTTATGTCACAATCACTTTTCGTTAAGACCACAAACATCCAATTTGGCTCGGCGTAATAAAATCAGCCGGAGCTCCCTTAAACGGAGCCATTGCAGAGAATTAAGTTGTGAAATCTAATCTATTATATCCATAAAGGAGAATGCTTTCATTGTAAATTCAGGTTATAAAGAAACTATACCTGGGCCACCAGCCTCCCTTTCGGATTTGCTACTTGAAGGCTTATCAAATTACTTCGAAATGTTGGGCTCCCCCTCTCTATCTCATGGCAACCAAAATTAAATGTGGCAACATTTCTTTAATACCCAAGGTCAGAAACAACTGATTCAACAATAGGATATAATTTTTAAGACATCTCCATTCGCGTTGGGAGGCACCCTGCTTCCCCAATTATCTCAAGTTTTTAAAAACTAAACGCAAGAAGGCTCCTTAAATTCTCTCCTGCTCAGGCGGAGGGCTCTGGGGTGCAATCCCGGGTGGATCGCACGTGGACCGCACACACCCGCGGCTCGGACCTGCATCAGCAGCGTTAGGCGATTCTTGGCGCGGCACACCTCAGGGACCGGCGCCGCGGAGCCCGGCTTGCGCGCCCTAGCCCCAGCCCCAGGCGCCCCGCTGGTTCCAGGACTGGCTGGACCAGACAAAGGAGTAGCCAACGAGGGGTTAAGCCTCCCCTCGCCCTTCTCAGAATATACTCTTCCAGGCAGCTGGAGCAAGGGAAACGTAGCACCCTAAAATTTCTCGTTTTTGCATGCCGGGTGGCGGTGTTTGCTGCCCTTCCCGGGAGGGAGTTGGGCCCAGGCCGGCCCCTCTCCCTCGGACGCCTTCTTCCGTTTCTGTAAATTAACTCCGGGCTTGGGCTGGGCGTCCTGGGCTGGCCAGAAGTGGGGGGTCACCAAGGACTCTCTGCCCTCGATCTCAAAGAGGGGTGTTTGGGGGACGTCGAGGAGATCGATAAGTTTCTGGATTCCCAGGAAACCGGCGGACGTGGCTTTTGTCAGGCCTGCGAAAAAGATTTATGAGGCGCCGGCGGAGTGTTGGGCCGGCTTCGCCCGGGCGGCCAGCGCACCCGGTCTAATCTTTGATTTCCATCTAATTATTTTTTTTTTCCCTGCCACCTTCAACTCGGTGTCCGGAGAGGCGAACAAAGGGATGAGGATGGGGGATGGGAAGGCAGGCAGCGGCGGCTGGGGGATCCCCCCATCGGCTTGGAGCCCCCAAGACGCCCGAGGCTCGTGCTTCTGTGAGCGTTCCGGGCGGCCGGACAGGAGCTGAGACCGTGGGAGACTCGCCACGGGGCCTGGGTGGGCGTTGCAGTCCTCAGAAGGGGTCCAGAGCCTGAGCCCAGCAGGGTTTCTAGGGTAGGATCCGTGGCGCGGGAAGGGCTCAGGGAGTTGAGGGGGGGGGAGTCAGCCCTTGGTAGAGGCGGCACAGGAAGGATTTTTACCCCCGCCCAGAAAAAAGATCTGCACAAGCGGGTGAGAAGAGCGAAACTTGAATTTTTCATGTTGGCGAGAAAAAAAAATCCGAAATAGAAAATGATTTTATTGGTCACTACCCATAAGTCAACTAAAAACAGGGATAATTAGAGAGTGGGGAATTCAGGGGGGCCATAAATCCGCGGCGCCTTCTCCATCGGCGTCCGGAGGCTTTATGGCTTGTTGAGTTTTATTTTGAGAGAAACGAAGTCCAGAGTTTTGGTGGAAGCGGGACTACCCGCCGAGCGCCGCGCGGGCAGCCAGACGCCCGGGTCTCCGGAAGGTGGCCAGTTAGGGCTCGCTCGGTCCCAGAAAGAGGGGCCTTCCCAACGCCGGGACCCTTCTCTCCAGGGCGAAATCGGTGCCCAACCCGCCTCTGGGCAGGGGAGTCACATTCTTCCTCCACCCAAACTGCGATGCAGACAGACAGTAGGTGTGCCTGGGGTCCCGGGGTTTTTATAACGAGATTCATTCCACTCGCGGCTTCCAAACGTCCGCCAGGTCCTGCTCGCTTGGGGGCCTTTTGTTCTAATTTACAGGGAGGAGGGGATGGAACAAACAACACACAACAAAATACAAAACCCACCTTACTTTGCAATCTTGCGCAAAGCGGCTGGGAGTACTTTTCATTCCATAGGGGTTTTTTACCCCACCGGTCAGAGGCCCATTTCCTCTTCTGAAATGGTCGTCTCACGAAGCCACCCTTAGCAGACCGCGTAAAATCCCATTATAAGGTAAAACAGTGGGGACACTTCTGACTCAGCTGCGGCTAATTTGGGGAGAAAAGAAAGTGAATTCTTCAGGAACTCCAAATAAAAGCGCCCCTTTCCCTGCAACTCGCGCCAAGCTTCTCCTTTGTTTTAAACACACGTACAAAACCCTTGTCCTTCCTAGGAACGGGGGCGGGGAGAACTGCGCGTCCACATTGAGGAGCGCTCTCCCCCTAAAAACTACTCTCCGAGGAGCTCTTTTGTTTGAAGTGGGTATGGGGGAGGGGACGGGACGGGGCCGCTCCAGGCCCGCTACCAGGCTCTTCTGACCCGGAAAAAAAAAAAAATCCTGTCTGCCGCGGGTGTCTCCTGACCGCGCAAATCTGAGGTTCCCGGGTCCAGGAGGAGTTCGTTCCTGGTCACCCACCCAGCAGTAGCCAAGGCCAGGGCTCCCCACTGCGAGTTCCCCCCAATGGGGCCCCTAGACCTTCAAAGTAAACACCCCGGATCTGAAAACGAGAACCCCGGGTTTCTGGGTTGGGGATAACCGTATGAACGACTGTGAAACAGAGCCATCGTGCTGTGGCACCCAGGGTGTCCTGGGTGAATCCCGTGGGACTCAGAGGAGAGCGACGCGCGCTTCCACAGGGGCTGCCTCCAGGACCCGCGCTGCGGGTGGTGGAGAGCCCGGAAGGGCTACCCCGAGTTCGGCTGCCGTCCCAGGACCCCTCTGAAAGGCACGTTTGCTGCGAAATCTCGCACACACCTCCTAGGTTCTTATTCGTCCCCTGCCCAGAGTACGCTCCGGGCGAGCGGGAAACAGGGAGATCGCACGTACCTGGAGGCGCTCCGAGGGCAGTCTCGCGGGCCCTCCGTAGGCGAGGGAGCCCCCCAGAAGCCACTCCCCGCCCGGCTAGGCGCCCCAAGGCCTTTCCCTCCCTCCCCGGCCACGCACACCGCCGGGCTAATTCTCCAGGAAGCAGGAGCGGGACACTGGCCCGCCTCTCCGGGAGCAGGATCCATTTTCTGGCGCCAAGGCCCGCGCCAGCTCTCAGGCCGCCGTCCGCGCGCAGGGTTCCCCGTGGCCCTTCCTCGGGATCAGGAGAGAGTGGTGCGGCCTGGACGCAGGACTGCGGCTCGCGCTGCAGCTACAGGCTCCCGCGCGCCCTTCTGCATCCAGGCTCCTGCGTGTCCACGTTCCCAACGGCGAGACCGGGACGAACTCTGAGGCCTCCGGGAAGAGGCGGCTGCAGCCGCGGTCCAGGCAGAGGCCCCGGGCGGGAGGGGTACCCGGCGGAGGGGCGGGCGAGCTACCAGCGCCCCGCGGCCACGGCCCTCGGGGGGCGCCCAGCCCCACCCACGTGGAGGCCCCCGCCCCGCCTCCGCGAGGGCAGCGTCCCCGCCCGGTCCTGCGCGCCCGCCTAGCTCCGCCCAATCGCCTCCCGCAGCGGCCGCTCCCTTTGTCTGGGCAGCCGGTGCAAACCAATGGCGTCGCGTGGGCGGTGCGCAGCTTGGCCAATAGCTGATCTGGGAGGTGGGGCCGAAGGGGAGGCTCTCCCGGGAGAAGATACTGCAAACCCGCAAGCTGCAGGACCCGGGCTCTGGGGCCAGAGTATGTCTGCAGATTCGAGCTGGCTCCGCCATGGAATTTTGAATTTAGGATCCCTTTCCACTATCAGGAAAGATGCCCCAAAGTCGAGAAGGAAGTTTGAGAGGATGACGTCCGACCTGTGGAGAGCGGGAAGGCGGTTTAGACGGAGTCAGTCCCGAAGCCCCAGGGGACTTGATTTAGAACAGCCCTTTAGCACCCTGGTCACGCCTTGCCTTGCACTTTGAAATTCAGTGGGTGCAGCGTCCCCGGAAGTCAGGAAGGTGCCCTGAGATCGAATGGTCAATAATGTGATGTTCTGACTCAAAGGCATCCCAGAGTTAGGGGAGGCGCATAAGCCCTCCCAGGGAGGACTATAGTATTGGGGGCCACTGCCCCAGGCTCACCTTAATGGGCAGCGACCCATTTGCCTTCTGAGCTGGGAAATAATAGGTCATGAAGGAGACTCAGACCAAAATGACCACAGCCAGAGAGAGCTGCGTGGCTGGCTTGCCCCTAGACAGAGACCGTGAAGGAAAGCTCTCAGGCGTTCTCTCCACCAAGCCCTGTGGGGCAGCAGGTGCAGAAAAAACCCCAGAGCCAAGCTGATACCTCCTCAATAAGCAAGCACACCGTGTCTCCTCCGGAAGGCTCTGAGCAGTGAACAGGAGAGTCCACTAGTCCTGGTCTCAGACCTGGAGGTGTTTCCCAACCTTTTCTCATTTCCTACACCTTGGCTCAAAGTGAAATCACAAACCAAGTAGAAAAGGAAACAGCCCTCTCGTGTGGGGGCTGCAATCTGCTGCCGCCAATGGAAAGCTGAGCTCTGGAAGTAAATGAGGTGCATTACATCCGTGGCCCGCAGGGCTCCACTGAGAACTATCAATCCCCACATCTCCCACGCTGTTGTCACAGAAGCCAACATCTAATTCCTTGTTGCTAAAGGCAGTACTCAGCCACCTTTATGGCTCTGTTTTGAAAGTCCTCTTTTCAAAAGTCCAGGGATACTGAGATGGCCTGTGGCTAACTGAAGGGCAGACTGTAGCTCTCAGGAGCTGGGGCTCCTCCAGCTGTGGTTGGAAGCCACAGACCTGATCAATACGGCCTCCGAGCTCCCAGGGATTACACATCCCAGGTTGGACACAAGCTGGATTTTGAGACCAAGAGGAATTGAATCAAGATAATGATCTAAATAATTCCTAACAGCCTCCCTTCCCACCCTCAATCCCTAGAAATGATAGAAAAGTTTAAAACTCCATTATAATCAGAGAATAAGGATGGTGCCCATGGAGACAGGAGAGGGCAGTGCTCCTGCGGGAAGGGAGCCTTGGGGCACAGAAGGAAAACTGCTGGCCAGTAGGAGGGTCCAAGGGGAGCTGCTCAGAGGAAGTTGTGGGATCCTGGGAAGTCTGCGGAGACATTCTCTCCCTGGTCTGTGCTCTGCGGCAGTGGGCTGAAACTAAACAGATACCACTGGAGACTGGCACCTGGAGGAGGAAGTCTCCTGTCCTCTCAGCAGCACAGGAGGCCCAGGGCACAGTCTGGAGACTCACCAAAACCTTACACACAAAGAGCAGTGCTACTTAGAACCACTAACCCTGGCTGGAGAGTTGGCTCCGTGGTGAAGAGCACTTGTCGCACTGGCAGAGGACACAGGTTCATTTCTCAGCAGCTACACTGTGATTCACAACTGTCTGTAACTCCAGTCCCAGGGGAATCCGGTGGCCCTCTTCTGACTCTGCAGAAACCAAGCACACACACTGTATGTGCGTGATATAAACACACACATGCAGGCAAAACACTCACACACATAAAATAAATAGATCTAAAACCGTTTTTTAAAGGAGTCACTAACCTGAGAGGAGCGCCAGACAGGTCAACCTGAGACACTAACGCCCTGGACCTGCTGAGCCTGACGCCTGGCACCACTGTCCTGTCTCCTTCCTCCTGGGGGGATGAGGGGGGGTGGCTGTACTACACTTCTCAAGTTCCCCTGCAAAGAGTGTGATCATGTGGGCAGCCGCCCAAGCGAGGAAAGGACTAGGCCTCTTGCTCTGCTACACCCAGTGGTCGTTACCAGAGTGGCCCAAGAAGTTTCATGTGGAAGGCAAGACCAGCACCAGTGTGGGAGCACCAGGGTGGGAGCATCAGGGTGGGAGCATCAGTGACCTTAGGAGTTGAAACTAAAAAGAGGGCCCTGGCCTTACTTCTAAGAGGAATCTCGGCTTTTGCTTGGACTGTTCACCCCCAGAGTCTGTGTGTTCAGGCAATTAAACTTAGAGTTAATTCAGCTTAAACGTATCTTAGGTTAAATGTCTGAGTCTTGATTCTACGACTACTTCTTTACCACAGCGATAAGACGCTCTGCCCCTCCTCCCAACTTTGGGTTTGGCAATATGGCTCCCTCTGGCACATGGGATCATTACCAGATGTAAAGTGGATAAAGCTTGAAATGTGCTAGCAAGATCAGCCTTGTTCTATTGAATGCCAGGGAGCCACTATGAGGAGATAGTCTCATGGAAGAATGTACGGGGTGGACCTGGTCTCAGGAGGAGACAGCAGACCTCAGCACTTCAGCCTGTGAGTGTGAATTTGGTGCTGTAAGCCGTTTTCTGTGGTACTCTAAGCAGCACTGTCGTGGTGACAGCTAAGATTCTTGTCCTGACTAATACAGACAAGGACACTGGGCAGAAGGAATCTTGAGCACGTGGTTCCATCTTAGAAGTTGGGTTATAGATGGTTATATATATAGGAAAACTGAGGAGGTAAAAATAACAGCATGTTTTTCTTGTTACCCTGCAGTAAACTGGGGAAAACTGAGAGAAGGGAGGCAAGAGCCAGGATGTTAGCCCGCCACCTGCCCCTTGCAGAAAATGAGGCCAGGTATAACCAAACGCACCTTGGTACTGTGGAGTCACAGGTTGGAAAGGGCACTGTTTAAACCTCCAGACCTGTAGAAGTGGTTGTTATTGTTCTGAGGCCAATGATCAAGGCAGCTTGGTCTAGTAAAAGGACTTAGGCCTGCTTGGGCAGGATGGCTCCACAGGTAAAATTCCTGTTGATAAGCTTGATGACCTGAGTTTGATCCTGCGACCCACAAGTTGTCCTTTGGCCTCTGCATGGATGCCATGGCATTTGTGTGTGCACAAGTGCATGCAGGTGCACACACACACACACACACACACACACATGACTTAGGCCTGCAACAACCCCAGAGTAGTACTCAGATTACAGGCATGTAGAGAGTAGCAGTTAACTGAATAACATGTCCCCTGCTGGCTGGAGAGACTCTGTGTACTCTATCTCCCCAAGACAGGATAGCCATTTATTTTTAAACGTGTTTGAAATGTTTGATGCAGGCACTCACAGATATCAGGAGACCAGAAAAAAGACTTCTGAATGTCCATCTTTCCACCCAAAGGTGTACTTCTCATAGGTACTCTGGCTGGGCTACATTCCTGGTTCGGTTGTAACAGGTGTGGTCACCACACAATGTAGCAGGTACACTGTACCTGTGTCAGGCACACGTTAGCCTCTCTGATGTCCCCTTCCCACACTAGAGTGCAGACAGATACTTTAGATGCCACCTGGGGGATGGCAGGGCAGCCATCAGTTCTCAGACCCCATTGGCTACTTGGAATGTCAGGCCCTCAACCAGAACACTTGCTTTGGGTAGGCCAGAAAGAACAAACTGTTGTGATGTCATGGGCATCCAAGCTTGGGGTCTGCTGGATACAGAGATTTGATTTGCACTAACATGAGAAGAGTGAGTTTCCAAAACACATGGGAAAAACTTCCAGCTACACTTGTGATGTTTTCTTTTCTTTTTTTTTTCTTTTTAAAGATTTATTTATTTATTATGTATACAGAAGAGGGCACCAGATCTCATTACAGATGGTTGTGAGCCACCATGTGGTTGCTGGGAATTGAACTTAGGACCTCTGGAAGACTAGCCAATGCTCTTAACTGCTGAGCCACCTCTCCAGCCCCATATAGGATGTCTTAAAACAGCACTAGTAATATTTTCAGAGAGAAGAATCGTAACAACAGTGCAGTGAAGTGGTGCACACCTATGAACCCAGCACTCAAGAGGCTGAGGCCGTGGTGTCATGAATTCAAGGCCAGCCTGGGCTACTCAGTGACTGTGAGACCAGCCCGGGCTATGTGGTGAGACTATATGAAATTGAACAATCATCAAGCTAGGGGTTTGGGATGAAACTCCATGACAGAGTGTGGACAATATATGTGAGGCCCCGCCCTGGATTCGAAAAGAATCTGAAAATAGAAAGAAAGAAAAAAAAAAAAGAACAAAATAATACAATAATCTGGGGAATTGAATATTCTGGTGGTATTTTACTTTCTTCTTTACAATTTTATGTATTATTCAGAAATTTACAAGAATATATTATTTATGTATTCAGGAAAAAACAAAATCATGTTTATGTGAAAAATAAAAATAAACTTAAAAAGATATTTTCCAAAAGTCAGCTAGATGTCTTGGGAAATAAAATATTTCCCCATTGAAATAAAAAATGCTCTTAGCAAGCCAAAGAAGAGGATGGGCTGGTCCACGGGTCATCAGTGAGGGAGGAGGTCAAGCTGAAGAATTTTCTAGAACACATAGTGAAAGGCCCTTCCCCCCTAAAAAAAGTGTGAAGGAAAAACTAAGCAACATGCAAAACAGGCCATTTAAATGAGATTCCGGGGAATGAAAAGAAGGAGAAGGAATAGTTAAGGAAATAATAAAACTGTCCAGGGCCGAGGGAGACACTAGGAAAACATTTCAGAACATAAGGAAGAGAGATGCAGGTTCCCGTGGGAAAACATGCTACCTCCAGAAAAAAGAAAGGAGCAGACATCTGATGCTGGGAACTCAAGATTCAAAGACATGGAGGGCACCTTCACCATCCATAGGGAAAATTAGCTGAGCCTAAAGTTTCATGCCTGGCCTGACAGCCATTCAGTGCCAGGGGAAAACAAACACCACTTTTGGCTGTGCCAAGTGTTCAGAGAATTTATTTCCAACACATAGTATCTGAAATAATTGCTAGATGGAGGACTCAATCTAAATAAGCGAATAACAAATTCAAGAGGTAGGCAAGGAGGGGTACGGAGCTGAGTCTGCTTTTATCAGAGACTATATTGGGAAATGCTCTTGGTGGCCTGGGGGGAGGATCCCAGTGAACTCAGAATGGACAGTGCCCTGGGACAGAGGGGAAATGAATCAGCAAGACGGGCGATGACTCTAGGTGGTGGAAAGAGGGGAGGCCAAGTCCCTGCTCAAAATGCAGGCACTAGGGGGTTAGGGAAGATAGCGCAGTCGGTCCCGTGCATGCTTCGTAATCGACAGGACCTGAGTTTGCTCCTCAGCACCCATGAAAGCCAGGTGTAGGGTGCGCACCTGAGACCTCACTGCTGGGGAGGTGGAGACGGGAAGATCCTGGGACCTCGTGAACAGCCAGTTGAGATTCAAGTTCAGTGACAGACTCCACCCAAATAAGGTGACGCACACCTTTAATCCCAGCACTCGGGAGGCAGAGCCAGGTGGATCTCTGTGAATTCGAGGCCAGCCTGGTCTACAGAGCGAGATCCAGGACAGGCACCAAAACTACACAGAGAAACCCTGTCTCGAAAACAAACAAACAAACAAAAAACAAAACAAATAAAGTGAGAGATCAAGAGAGGGAGTGAGAGAAAGCAGAGCCCACAAGATGCCTTACCCGGTCAAAGCACTTGCCATACAAACCTGACAATCTGATGTCGATTCCTGGCACTCACGTGAAGGTAGAAAGACAGAACTGATTCCCAAGAATGTCTCTGACCTCCACATGCACCACCCTAACAATAAACAAACAAAGAGTAGTGAAAACTTAAAAATATTTAAGGTACAGAAAGATTGAGAAAGACACCTGTTGTCAGCCTCTGGGAGTCATGTGTATCTGCCCGCATGCAGACACATGAACACACCACACACACACACACACAGAATGGCTAGGGTTGGGTGGTGTAGTGTTGAGCACTTGCTTATCATGTACCCTGCCTGAGTTCCATCCTCGGCACCATAAAAACGATCAATTAGTTTAGAAGAATTTACCACTAGGTGAATAGAATTTGATGTAAATCTTCTAAATAAATGGAGCAGAAACTTGATATATCTCACAGAAGCAGGAAATGGGAGACAAGCTGGGTCATAGAGACAACATGATACCATGGCAAATACAACCTAAAGCCAATCAGGTGTGGTGGAGCACACCTGCAATCCTGGAACTCAGGAGGTGGAGGCAGGAGGATCAGAGTTCAAGGCCAGCATGAGACCCCTCATTTCATAAACCAAGACAGGGACAGGGGATTGCTCATGGGTTAAGGCACTGACAATGTGAGTTCGATACTTGAAATGGAGAACTGGCTCCTGCAAGTTGCCCTCTGACTTTCACATGTGCTCACCTGTGTGTGTGTGCGTGCATGTGTGCACACGCACACACGCACTAGCTCACATACACATGAACATGTATATACACACACACAAAAAAAAATAAAGAAAAATGTAAAAACCCAATAATAATTATTTATGATTGAAGAAGCAGGGGCTGCAGAGCTGGCTCGGCGGTTAAGGACACCTGTTGCGTGGGAAGAACCATATTAGGTTCTCAGAACCCACACGGTGGTTCACAACCATCTGTAACTCCAGTTCCAAGGGACCCAACCATTTCTGGACTTCACAGGCACCAGGCATGCACGTGGATATACATGTAGGCAACACACACACATAAAATAAATAAGTCTTAAAAGAAAAAGAAGATGAAGTCCTCAAAACCTGTGTCGGAGCCTGGAGAAGAAAGTTAAAAACACAACACTTCAGGTACATTTAGAAAACAGAATAGGCAGAAAGGGACACATCACGCTTTAATGGAAGGAACCAGGTGAGGAGGCGCAGAGAAGCCCAGCATCCGAGATTTTGTGTCTGTGTTCACAGCGGGGCTAGAACACAGATTTCATTTATAAAATTCTTGGTGTGTGTATCTGTGTGAGGATCAGTGCACATGGGATAACAGGTGTGTGCCAGCCTTCCCAGATGTGTTTTTTATTCTTACTACTTAAAAATCGTAAGTCTGAAGCAGGCTGTAGTGGCACATGCCTCTAATCCCAGCTCTTGGGAGACAGGCAGATCTCCATAGTGAGTTCCAGGCCAGCCAGAGCTGTGTAGTGAGACCATGTCTTGACACAAACAAACAGCAACAAGAAGTCTTAAGTCTGAGGCTGGGGCTGTGTAGCTCACTGCTAGAGCACTCACATAGCATGTACAAGGTGCTGGGTTCAATCCCCAGCACTGAAAAACAAAACAAAATAACAAACAAACTCCTCTAATGTTTTGTTTTTTTGCTGTTGTTGGTTTTGTTTTTTTCTGGCCCAGCTTAGGAGGTGACTTATTCCATCAGTTATTTCTTCCTCTGCTGCCTGTCATCTTTTTCTCAAGCATTTTTCTCATCTTATAAACATGTTTCAATTTCTCCATTCCTTAGGATAAATATCTTGGACACAAGCAACAGTAAACTGTGGAACTCAAAACACCTCCCTCCACACCAAACACCCCTCCGGTCAACGCCCCGGCCTTCCGGCTCCTCTCTCATGAAAGCATCTGGAAAGAATAGACCGTGCTTGGCTTCTGCTTTGTTTTGTTTTGTTCCCAATCCATTGCAGACAAACACTCTTGTAAAATAAAATAAAAAGTATTACTAAAAAAATGGGGAAAAAATCCCCAAAGACATCCAACATGCAGGCCCTAATTTTTTATTATTAGGTCCAACAAGCATAGCGGTACTGTCAGACCGCTATAAAAATGCTAAATGCTCCCTTTCAATTCCCGCACTTATCTTGACGTGGACACGGGGAGCAGCGGCTTGGGTGGGCGTGTGTCTGAGGCCATCAGGGCCACCAGGGCTGCTCTCTGTGCCTGCCACCCACGTGTGCCGGGGACTCAGCTTCAAGCACACTGAGCAAGCCCCACCCCACAAACTGACATCTGCTTCTATCCCTACATGCTCTGACAAAAGTCCCCAAAGTTGACCTATGGCTTCTCAGCACCCCCACCCCCCACCCCCGGCAACTCTTTGTTGGTTTCTATACTTTTTCTTCACTGACATTGTCCCCATCAATCTGATTTCTGTTGCTATAACAAAACATCTCAGGCTGAGTAAATTTATAAAGTGTATTTAGCACCTGGTACAGGAGCTGGGAAGTCTGTGAGCACAGTCTGGCATCCTAGCATGGCAAGACAGAACAGGGATGCTGCCGTGGATCTCTCTAATCTTATGCCACTGTGAGAACCCCACCTCCGTGACCTCATCTAACCCTCATGACCTCCAAAATATTATCTTCAAATGACTTTGGGAATTAAACTGGCAACATGAATTCTGGGGCACATGCTCAGCAGCAGCCCCTTTGCTTCTCTCTCTGATCTTGGCGACTTCCTTTCACTGCAAACCTCTGAAATGGCCATCTGCTCCCCCCTGCTCCCTCTCAGAATGCTCTTCTGGATGGTTGTTTTTGGGGGTTGATTTCTTAGTTGCACCTACATGCTGAGAATTTGCCGATTCCCAGCCACAGCCGCTTGCTTTCTGTCCTGCCTTCTGGTCACTTTCACTTGGATATCCACAGTGCCTTGTGGCCAAGTCCAGTGGTCAGGATTCCTGTGGTTCACAGGGAAGGACCTGGGCTGGCTTGTAGGTCAGAGGAAAAACAGCATATACAGGCAGGTCCCCGAGGTCAGGAGCCTGGGGCATCCTGTTTCGGTTGCAGCATTCTTCACATCTTCTGTGTTAGGTACATAATGCTGAATAACAGCCAATCCTAAGCTCACAGTGTATGGTTCAACCACTGCAAGTGACTCAGGGCCAGAGCCATCTAGAAACCTCTTCACTTGGTATTACATCAGTGGGGACCTGGGCATAGACTTCCTCACAGCACAATACCTTCACTGGGCCAAAGCTGCAGAACTGTTCTAGACCAGCCCTCCAAGCCACCAAGGGCAACTTCATTCGAGGGGAAAGGATGTAGGCCTGCACTGTAAGAGGTCAGGATGAGGAGCACCAAAACTGCTGCTGGCAGGAAGTGTTTTCCATTCCTCTGCCTTGATCCCAGGGACAAAGATTCTGCGTGGCTATCTATAGGTGGGTTTACCATTCAGATCCATGCCTAGGAGGTTTGGGTCTTGCCTTAGGTGGGACCTAGGGGGCTCACAGAGTGTGCTCTATTTTGAGTGACTTGGATGCAGGCTCCTGGGACACCTCATTTGAGAAACATCTATGCCACTTTCCTTGTCTATGAGCAGCACAAAGGCAGGGCCCTCCTTTTGGCTCAGTGTCTGCCTCTGCCTTGGCCATTCCATCATGACAGGAGAGAGACCACAGCAGCCCATGGCCTGGTAGACTTTGAGATCTGGAAGGCATGTTGCCATGCTCTACAGACCTGGGGTCTTCCTGGATCTCAGACTATTGTGCACTCATGAATCAGCCTGGAAATAGGCTGACTTCAGAATCCTGGCCGATAGAGGCTCTGGGGGACCTCGAATACCTGTTTTTTTTTTTTTAATCACTTATAATTTTAAAGTGTGTGCAATGTGTGTAATAAATATAGCAATGTGTATTTAGCAATTACATAAAATCGCACACCTATGATATATATCTTATATATGTGCAGACACACACAAATTTGTCAGGATGTTTTATTTAGTAAAGCTATTTACTTTGGAATAATTGTTGATTCACATGCTGTTATCAGAAACAACACTAAGAGATCAGAATGCCCTTGACTTGGTTTCCCCACCAAACCCCAGCACTGATGTGGGTAGAGCCATGACTCAGGCTGTTTTAGCCATTGTGAGGAATCTCAGATTGCCCTGTATAGCCACAAGCTCCCCCTTCCTTAGACCCAGTCACCATGACTCTCTCTACTCATCTATAATCCTGTCATTTCAAAGATGTTGTATCAACAGCCTTATACAACACGAAACTTTTTCTCTGCCTTAAATCAGAGTTTCTCCATATAGCCCTGGTTGGCTTGGAGCTTGTTATGTAGATCAGGCTGCCACCAAACTCACAGAGATCTGCTTGCCTCTGCTTCCCAAGTGCTGGGATTAAAGGCATAAAATGACACAACTCTGGAAAACAGTATGGCAGATTCCTTGGAAACAGCTATGAAATAATACTCAATTTCATTCCTAGGACTTTATCCCAGAGACTTTATGTCCCAGAGACATAAAGATCCATGTTCACACAGTATCTGTGATGATGATGGACTCTTATCCTGGAACCATAGGCCCAAATAAACCCTTCCTTTTATAAGTTGCCTTGGTCATATGTTTTCTTTTCTTTTTTTTTTCACAGCAGCAGTAAAGTAACTAAAGCAAGGAGCAAAATCACTGTGTGAATTTTACTTTTTAAAGATTTATTTATTTACATTTAATTTTTTTGAGACAAGGTCTCAAAAACTAGCTCTAATTTGCCCAGATCTATAGTGCCTCAACAGGCTGGCTTCAGACTCACAGAGATCCTCCTGCCTCTGCTTCCCAAGTGATGGTATTAAAGATGTGAACCACCACTCCTGGCAAAGATTCATTATTTTCAAAATGATCAGCATGGCATGGTGGTGGCACATGTCTTTAATCCCAGCACTCAAGAGGCAGAGTCAGGCTGAGCTATGTAAGAGCCAGCCTGATCTACAAAGAGTGTTCCAGGACAGCCAGGGCTACATAATAGAGATACCCTTTCTCAAAAGACACAAAACAAAATGGCAAAATTATTGTATAATGTGACTACAGTGAAGCACACACAGGGCCCAGG